AAAAAAACTAAAAAAAAACAAGAACTTTTAAAAATTTAATTTGATATAAAAATCGATATATATATTTTTTCAAAATTTTATGATACCTTCAAATTTATATTTTATTCAAAAAAATAAATACATTATCGTTTTTTCGATATTATATAAAATCGTATTATAATATCGACGGAGTGAGAATAAAATAAAACATTAGAATCGAGATATATCTCGTTGTATTGTGTGAGTACTCTTCTAGTATTTAATAGTAAATTAATGATGAAGTTAACATTTAAGACGAAAACAATAATAAATTATAAACTATATGAACAAAAACTATAAGGACTAAAAATGTCGTTTTTAATAAATCATAAGGACTAAAAATGTCGTTTTTAATAAATCATAAGGACTAAAAATGTCGTTTAGATTGTGTGGACTTTGTTTCGGGTCATCACCACTAATAAAGCCTGCCATGTCTATTTTTCAAAAGAATCCACATGGCAGCAATAAACAATCGATTCAAGAAATTCTATGACTCCCTCCATCATCCAAATTCATTAGTTATCTCAATCTCTAAAACCCTAATCGGATTCAATTTAAAACCCTAATCGGATTCAATTTATTTGAAACTAGACAGATTTGTTTTTAGTTTGATACCTAGTCAATTTCTGTTCCAATCGGAGGAGAATGAAGGATGATGATCCCCTGCCCATGTCAACACCGCCATTGATGATAACTAATAAGAAGGAAAGCCTAGATTCCAGTATATTCAGTAGAGGCCGGTACAAGTTCTGGGCTCTCGCCGCCATTATTCTCCTCGCTTTCTGGTCAATGCTTACTGGCACCGTCACTCTCCGCTTCTCTGCCGGCAACCTCAACCGCTTAGGAGATTACGACATCGCCGGTGGATCTCCGATTCATGAAGATCTCGACGTTCTTGTCCGTACTGTTCCCTAATTTCTTGTGCTTCTTGTTGTGTGCTGAGTAATTAATCTGGCTTTTGGTTTTGAACAGGAAATGGAGGAGCGAGAGAAGGTAGTGAAGCATATGTGGGATGTCTACACCAATGGCCGTCGGATCAAGTTACCTCGATTCTGGCAGGAGGCGTTTGTAGCTGCTTATGAAGATCTATCCAGTGATGCACCTGAAGTAAGAGAAGCTGCAATATCGGAGATCGCCAAGATGTCTATCAATTCTATTGATCTTGATCTTCCTCCCCAATTAACGGTTCGTATCTCTAGCCCTAGAAACATTATACTTATCTCATAGTAGAAATTTCATTAAGCTTGTATACCTCATATTGATCTTGATTGATTCGGGCTGATTGGTTGGTTTTCCATCAAGACCGTGTAAATTGAGGAGGTTTTTGTTTGGCATGACTTTTTCATAGATAAAAGTAGCATGTCTTTTAATTGAGAGGGGTAGGTTTGAAAAAACTTTGCTTTATGCGTAAAACTCCCCATATAAGCTTACTCAATAACACTTTTGATATCATTAAGCCACTACCAAACAATCATACATAGCTGACTGAATAAGTTTCGAGTCCCATTAAGCTCATCAAGCAACTAACAAATTGGGCGGAAGTGAACTTAACTTGGATCAAATATCAGCTAACTTAACCACAAGGGTGGTGCCTGATTGGTTTGAGCTTCGTTCCAAAGGTCAAAAGTACATGGAGGTCCTAGGTTCAAATCCATGGAGGAACTAAAATCCCCTTGTGACCACGGAGGTTCAAATGCAGTGATTCCGGGCTATCTACAAAGCAGGTGGTCCCCCTGGGATTAGTCGGCTCGCATAGCGGGTTGGATATCCAGGTTAATCAAAAAGAAAAATATTAGCTAACTTATAGCTAACCAAATGGAGCTTTTTCAATAAGCTCAAAAAATAAGCCAAACTTATGGTCACCAAACATATCCTTATTGGTGGACTAGTTTAACCGGTTACTACGATGGATAGAATAAAGGTGTTGCAGTTTCCACAATTGTAGAACTTGATTAAGTGCTTGATCAACAATGTTGTATCTTCAGGCAAGTTCTAGCAAATTTGTTGGTGACTTCAGCGTCATCAAATAATTTTGGTGTAATTTTTGATCTACAAGAGACCGATTATGTGAAAAGGCATTACATAACGTGAATTAGGAGGTGCCGAGTGCACACTCACGAATGGTGCTCTTATCACCTTAAATCGTCATAAGGCGGGGGTCAAGTGGGTTGTTCCCCTGGCGGTTATCGCGGTCGAGGGGGGCTGCCCTCGCAGGTTCGTGCAGCGCCCTGAAACCTCTGCGAGTTTTAGAAGGGAAAGTGCATGCGAAATCTGAGTTTCTGGACGTTCTAAGTGTATTTCAAGAGGCAAGAAGCCTTCTTAAATCAGTTCCGAACGTCTGTGGAAAACTAACCGGCTGTTTGGTTGGTTTTCCATTAAGTCATGTATGGATAAAGCTGTCTGTGTGGGTTAATCTATCTATATAGATTGGTAAGGTTGTTTGCGAGGGTTTCTTCATGGATGGAAGGACCGTGTTTTATAACTGTAGATGGACAGATTTGGAAAAAACTTTGGCTTTCTGCATAAAGCGCCCCCTAGAATATTACTGAATAAGTCATTTTATATATCATTAAGCCACTATTAAGCAGTCATGTATAGCTAATGGAATAAGCTGTGAGTCCCATTAAGCTCATTAAGCCGCTAACAAATAGGTTCTTAGTTCTCCCTCAGAAGCTCGGACTTCAAAGTTCAGAAGCTTTGACTTCACTTCAGAAGCTTCTAATTCTGAATGCCTTCTGATCCATGCAGTTATCAACACTGCCTAACTGACTTGTAACCATCGATCTCATGTAAATATGTAAAATGTGGAATCTGGGTGAATATATATAACTCAATTTTACAGCCTTAAAAAAATCAAGGTAATCGTTGAATTATCCCAATACGCAATTCATGATAACTAGGCATATAGGGTCGAATTAGTGTATATGGAAAGCAAACTAGACGCGATCCAATTGATTTATCCGGTCTTTTTATGATCAAGGACCCTCTATCACTAACAAAATTAGCCTTGAAAAACACTTATGTGGACATCATAATTTTAGCATGGAAGTCGTTGAAATTGATGGATGGTGTGGTTTAGGATGTTGAAGGGATTGGAACTTGGAACACCCGTCATTGATTTTGAACGGGAAGTATAAAATAAAACTAAGATTGGTTTAAGAAAGCGTGGAAGTATCATTTTCTTAGTTTTTAGCTTTTATTTTCAGGTTTATTATGTTCTGAATTGTTTTGGGATAAAAGACACGAACACAGGATCTCACATACAAAAGGCAAGGAACTAACTAACCAACAGACCAATGATGATTTTTATAGTCAACTGGTGTCTACCACTTGAAAGTCAGCCTATGATATATATATATATATATATATATATATATATCTATCATGATATCAATTAGAAATTTGATGGGATATGCAGGAGCTTTACTTGGATATAAGTTCTACTGGAAAACCATTTATGATTCAAGCATTCACAACTGCTTTAAAGCAGCTATCTTTTATTTGATTAGGTATGCTGTAGGGGATTAATCAATACCATATTAAGGCGTGTTTGGTTGATTAATCAAAAAGTTGTCTGTATGGATTAATCTGTTTGTATAGATTGGGAAGGTTTTTCTGTTTGGGAGGGTTTCTAATAGATGGAAGAACCATTCTTTTTGATTGGGAAGGGCAGGTTTGGAAAAGACTTGGTTTTTTGTATAAAGACTTAGTGAATAAGCCACTTGCTATATCATAAGCCACTACCAAACAGCCATATATAGCCGACTGAATAAGCTTCGAGTGTCATTACTCATTAAGCTTGCTAAAAAAGGCGCTAAATGTTAATGCCTTAATGGAACCTGAATGCTTGCTAATTCACACAATACTTGATCATTACATATCTCTCTTTGTAAACAAGCTGATCTGTTTCGATACTTATACTTATGTTTTCCTGTTTCAACAGAATATACGAGAATTAAGTTCAAAACAATCACAGCAGAACAAGGCACGAAGTAAGTTGAATATAAGTTGAAGAAAGCCAAGAAGAACATCCCCATTCTTTTTTTTTTATACAGGTTCAATCTACGCGTTAAATTATCCGCACTAAATGACCCACGCCATTTTTCAGTTAATGTCATGAAAATTGTATTCAGTTTCATATGTTCGACACCACACAAACAACTATTTCTCGTTGTTTATTTAGGTCTCAAATCTCATTTGTTATTTGTACTGTCAATGTCAATTTGCTTCATGATAGATAGCTTTTTGATACCATGAAATGAAGTTATAGAATTTGTCTACACTTCACAATGACTCTGCGTCTATTGAGAAACGCCATTGATGAGGGTTTGGAGGACAATAAGATGTTGGTTTATCTCTTATCAGATAAGATGACAATAAGACACAACTGTCTCTGTAAAATTGAAAAAAAACAAACAGTTTGAATGATCTTACCTCTTAACGAATCAGACATAAAAGTCTGAAACAAACAAGGTATAAATATAGTATTTGCTCAACGAAATCAACCAAGAGACCTAACATGATTGTGGCATTTCAATTCCTTAAATGTCAATAGCTTGCCCATAATTTGTCCTTCACATATTGTCTTAGAAGCATGGAAGAACCCCTCCATTTTCCGTATTTACAAATTAACCCTCTTCTTTTCTAATAGTTGCATTTAAGTTGCTTTTTCCCTTTTCATGAATTCGGAAGGGGGATTAAAGAAATCATTACCCAATCCCCAAACGTTAAAGTGAACCTCTTCGATCCTCCACTTCTCTTCAAGCTCCCTTTTATGGTTCGATGATTGTTCTCCGTATCTAAAAACCGTTACAGTAGTTTTCCCACTATGCGCAATATTGACACCCTCGACATACCTATAATCCTCAATCACCGATTCCGTGCTGGTTTCCCAAAAAATGCCATCCCCATTGTCACTGTTCACGGTGAGCAGTCTCGAGTCCTCAAACTTGACTAAGAGCCCCGACCTTTGGCTAAAGTAACCCCAAATTGTGTGATGTATGATCTCGTATTTCGGATTGCCTTGTTCCTCGAGATCCGATTGGCTCGTATCGAGCTTTAGTATAAAGCATTCTTCGTCATTTATGATCTTTTCACCTATGCATACTGCTTGAAGAAACAGATCTCCTGTGGACTTCGGGTCCAAACCCTATACAAATAATTGGGTCAAAAAGAGAAAGTTTTCAAATATGTTGGGCCGAATGTGTAACTTCAGAAAGTACACTAATAACATTTAAATTTAGGTTATTTTCATATACGTCCCACCACTTTTGTTTGATTTCCACTTTCACCCCTCTATTTATAGACAATGATAGCATGGTACCTATGGTACTATCAAAAAAATTCTTTTGACCGTTGATTTGCACCAAATGTCTATTTTACCCTTGATACATCTTGAGATGTATAGAATTGAAAAAACACGATTAGATGTTTCGATTGCCAAGTACCTGAAGAAACCGACGAAGAGGACGAGGAGGACCTTTGATCATAGGTCTTTGTAGGTTCGAAGACTGTCTCCAAGAAATCTTGCCATTGCTTCCTGAAATAACCTTGCAACCGGAAACTAGTAGTTCCAAGCACCATAAGTTTGGATCCTTTTGCCAGAGCACAAACCCTCCGGCCTCATCCCTGCTTCGTGAATTCACGACTTCGTCGCCTTGATGGAAATCTGACGCACTAATCTTCACTTGTCCGATCGCACATAAACTTTGTACTGTGTTCAAAGCTGGTTGACCACCGATTGCCGCCATGTATTGTTGCACTATATATTTTGCCGTTGATGCTTCCTTTTGAAACATGCAACAACTCATGCATTAGTTCAAATTTCTAAATCATGAACGATATAATTGATTACATAAAAAGACATTTTCGCCCCTAGGAAGGCAATATCAGGGTTTGCTTACGATAGAAGAATTGTGAATAGATCGAGTGCTAGAATTCGCTTTTCGAATCTGAAGAGGAAGAAGAGGAGATCCCATCATGTAAAGCAAAAAACTAAGCTCGTTATAACGGTTAGCTATGATCGGTGAAGACCATTTCTCCAACGTCTGTGCCTTCATCCACATCGCCATGTTTTGCCATCGTAAAGCGACAGTGTTACCCATGCTTGTAAACATCTCCTCAGGTATCGGCACGTCAAGAACAGTCTCCAACGCATCTTCTCGGTCTATATTCGGACACAATACCCTCATCTCTATTATCGACTAGGGTTGTTTATGTTTCATTCAATTTATGAAATCGTTTTTCTTGGGGTATTTTTCAATATTCTTGAAGGATGGGAAGGTGTTAAATCACATTTTTTCAAAGGCTGCCCTTAATTTTAGGGGTATTTGTGGTCATTTATTAGTTTTTGAGTATTTTGTGGAATAATCTGTGCCCTTAATATGGACTGATCCAATGTCTAAATTTAATCCAATTTTTATTTTCTTTTTTATCAATATTTTATTTAATAAAAAATACCGTAGTTTGTCAAAAGCGACAATTTTAAAATTATAAGATGACCATCGTGATTTGTAAAAAACATATGTACCCCTTTCTATCATTATTAGCAAATAATTTACGTGTTCAAATCATGATTATTATTATTATTAAGAAAAAGACTTCCTATAAAAATGTAACACTAAAAAGACGAAAATTACACGTGGACGATATTATGGAAAATTACGATTTTGCCCCTTCGTTTTGCAATCACGGCGTTCGATTATCTTCGTTCTTGATCTGCAACTCTATATCGGCTGTTCTTGATTTCTTGCTTCTTGTGAAAACTTGTTCCATCTCTTCAAGTGACTTCCCTTTGGTCTCTGGCAAGAAGAAGAAGAAGAAGATCCAAGCCAAAACAGAGATACCAGCAAACATGAAGAATCCCCCTCCAATGGTGATGGCATTGATCAGGGACAAAAACGTCATTGACACAGTTGCATTTGTAACCCTATTCACAGCCACCCCAATGCTTGCCCCTTGTGCCCTTAGCTTTAAGGGAAATATCTCTGAACTATAAACCCATGTGACTGGTGCTAGCCCTAGTGAAAAGAACATTACATACAGATAACATGTAGCTATACTTAACCAAAGTGCCCAAACTACCCTTTGGTCAGGAGACTGGTGCACTATGGTCAAAGCAAACCCTAACCCTAATAACGCAACTATCATCCCTCCAACACTTGTTAGTAGAAGTTTTCGTCTTCCGGTTTTATCGATCAAGAAAGTGGAGACCGATATGAATACGGTCTTCGTGATCCCGACTCCGATGGTTGCTAACAAGAGCTTGTTCTTGTTTACRACACCGGCTTTTTTGAAGATCCGTGGGCTATACAAGACTACTGCTTCGATCCCAGTTGCATGCTCGAAGAAATGGATCCCGAGGGCTGCTAGTAACATCCATCAGACTGGTGGGGTTGGTCTCAGTAGTAATTCTTTCCATACGCCTTGGCCATGCGTGTTTTGACTGAGCATAACGTAATCGTCGTTACAGCCAGGATCTATCCCTGCTGCAAGTTTGATGTCTTGCAGTCGGGATTCACCTTGTATTTTGGTGTTTGAGACTTTTGACAAGACGTTTCTGGCGTCCTTGAGACGGCCTTGCATGACGAGCCATCTCAGGGACTCTGGCATTCCAAGAATGCCAACAGCTAACCCTAGAGAAGGGATAGCTGCAAYCGCRAACATGACCCTCCAACCGATGTTCAGGGGTAATTGTGCGAAAATGTAGCTTGAGATATAACCGAATAAAATGCCGAGACTAATTCCAATTTCAGGTAATGAAGCTAGGAAACCCCGGGTGCTGGCGGCGGAAATCTCGACAGAGTAAACCGGAGAGATGACAAGGGCAAAGCCTACTCCGATTCCGGCGACACAACGGCCTGTAAGTAGGATTGCAAAGTTTGGTGCAAAGCCCATTAGTAAGGATCCGGAAAGGAAGATAATGGAAGCTAAGGTGATGGTGTAACGGCGGCCGATGTAATCTGCCGTTCTACCGGCAGTCAAAGCGCCAATTAGGGCACAGAAGTTGATGAT